TGGCATAAAGAAATTAATCATAAGAATATATATAAACCAATAATTATTATAGGTTTTGCTTACCAACTTTGTACAAACTGACAGTTACATTCATACAAACTAACAATTAAATTCATACAAATTGGCAATTAAATTCATATATAATACTTTTAATTAAATTGCAATATCTTATGACCTAATAAATTAAATTATCTAAATTTGATACTATTTGATTTATTAAAATTAAATGAATTAAATAGTATCAAATTTATGTAATTTAAGTTACTAAGTTATGAGATATTGAAATTTAATTAAAAGTATTATGTATGAATTTGATTATCAATTAGTATAAATTTAACTATTTGTTTATACAAATTTGACTATCAGTTTGTATGAATTTGACTGTTAGTTTGTACAAAGTTGGTATGCAAAACCTGTATTAATTAATACAACAGAAAATGATTAGCATGATAACTTTTCTAACTTATATAATACAATTTGGAAAGACAACCTAACATGTTATACAATACTGAAAGTTAAAGAGTTGTAAATTATATTAAATTTTGGCAATTAAATCTATATTTAAATAAATAAAAAATAAAATTGCTGATTTGTTAAGTGCTAGTTTTATAAAAAAAAATAGAATTAGCATTAAAAAAACTAAAATTAATATATATATAACAATTAATTAGCAAGTCAGATAATTAAATGTTATTATAATAACAGTTTAAGCTATTATATAGACAATTATATAAAGACAGACAAGCAAAATGGTTTAGTAATATAGAAAAAAAGTTAGTAGAAAATAAGCAAAATAAAATTATAAAAAAGAAGTAATTAGTTTAAAAACCAAATAAATATGTAATAAAAGTCTAACTAAAAGCAGTCTTAAAAGATAGAAAAAAGAAAAAAAGAAAGATATTAAAGACAGATAAGAAAAAAGAAAATGCAAATCCAACAGTTAAAAAAGTTATTTCAAACATATAAAAAAGGTTTTAACAAAATATTAGAAATAGGCACAAAAACAAAAAATATAAAAACAGTATTAAATAAATATATAAACTGCAATTTAGGTCAAAGATTAGAAAATAAAATCTGTATAAAATAGAAAAATAAGAATAAAATTTAAAGCTTAATATTAAAGTTTGTAAAAAATCAAAAAGAGCAAATTTTGGAAATAAGTTATGATATTATAACATAGTTATGAAGAAAAGAGAAAATAAAACCAAGCATTAATGAAAAAAAAGTAGAATATGTATAATGTATAGATTTAGAAACAAAAATTATTTAAAAGCAATTAATAAGTTAGACAATAAAGAAGAAGCTTATTCAAAAGAAAGTAATAAACTAAACAAGATTAGAAAAAAATTTAATCTTTTATACAAATAGATTTTTTTAAAAAAAAACAAAAAATACAAATCAAAACTTAGATTGAATAGGTGCAGACTGAATACAAATAGATGAAAAAAAGAAAAAAAGTGCTTGATAAAGGATGTTTTGAAGTGCAAAATTAGCCATTATTTATAAAACTAGAGTTATTAGCAATATGGTTTGTATTACTTATAATACTAAAAAAGAAAACAATTAGAATTTTTATAGATAGTGCAATAGCAATTGCAAACATAAAAGAAAAAAACATAAATAGATTATTTAAATAATAACTTAAAAAGAAAAATTATAATTTATTAGAGAACATTAAAAATTGTATAGAATTAAAGAAACTTAATTTAAAACTAATTAAAGTTAAAGAATATAGTAATAATAAATAAAATATTAAAGCAGATAAATTAGCAAAAAAAGAATCTAAATTAGACAATATAGATAAAATAGTTAAAGAAATAGTGCAAAAAACTAGTATTAATCTTTGTTAGATAGATAAGATAGTTAAAGACCTTATGAGATAATTTATAAAAGAAATTTTAAACTTAAAGAAAAGTATAAAATAAAGATTTACAGTATTAATTAGAAAAACAGAACCAGATCAGAGTAATAGAACATACAATTAGTCATATTTTTGAAAAAAATAAAAGATTAAAATAAAAGTAAATACTCAGGTATTGAAAAAAAACAAATAAATAAAAAGCTTGATTAAGTGTATAAATAAAAAATTACTAGTAACCAAAATACTAGTACAACATCATTTAGATCTTTATAGAAATTCATATTGCATTATTTGTAAAAAAAATAAAGAAAAAAATCAAGATTATTTAGTAATATGTAAATATTATGAAATATATAAAAAAATATAGAAAATACATTACTTAATTTGGTATAAACAAAGCTCTTGAATAAAGCCAGAGCAGAAGCAAATAAAAATCAGTTTAAAAAAATATTTTGAGATATACAAATAGAAAAAAAAATAAAAGTAAGATGCAAAATAATCAAAGATTTAATACAGAGAAGAACAGTAAAACTATTTTAAGAAATATTACATTCAAGTAAAAAAACAAAAAAGTTTGTTGCAATAGCAATTAACATAACATGAAATTGTTTCTATAAAGATATATAAAAAAATGATATAAAATCTTTATTTTGTAAAAAAAAAAAACAAAAATTAATAAAAAAACAAAAAAGAAATATAAAGAAAAATTTAATAAAGAAAGTTAACAAATTAAATTTTAAAGAAAAAGCTATTAGAATAGAAAAGAGCCAAACCATTAAGACAAAAAAATGAAAAAAAAATGAAAAAAATAAAAATACATAAAGCATGATTTGGCTCAATCACAAATTTAGTTATAATAAATTAAAACTATTTATATATAGCCTTCTTGGCTAGTTTAGTACAATCCAGATCTGAATATTTCTTCAATTAGTATGGCAGACTGCTTTTGCATATTCAAAAAAGTAGCTAAAAAATAATGAACCAAAAACTTAAATTAAAATATATATAATATATATATAAGAATCTTAAAAGTTTATGACAAGACAGGTTTAGGTCGCAGATTATATGTCTGAGTCTTTATTCTTCATATGTAATTTAAAAGCAAGCTTTTCTTTGTAAAAACTTCAATTGAATTTCAATAAAGTTAAAGGCATGGCCTCACTATTAATATTTAAAAAAGTTTATAACAAGACTGTTAAAGAAAATAATAATAATAATAATAATTTAGTAAAGTGAATATGTTATTAATCTTTAAGTAACAAATTATAAATTTAAAACTTATTAATAATAAAATTTGAACAATTATCTATATTATAATAACTGTTTTTTATTAATTAATTAGAATAAAATATCTGTAACTATAATTATATTAGTATAATTAATAGGTTATAAAATATTTATATAATCTTAACTATATAAAAGAAAGCAAACCCAAGATAAGTCTTTATAATTATATAAATCTATAAAATTGAAAAAACAAAAAATCTACTTAGAAAGATTTTAGTAAAAAAATAATACAAATCTTTAAATAAAAACTAGATCTAAGAAACAGATACTAATATAAAAGAACCAAACAGATGAAAACCTCTAAATAATGATATTACCAATCAAATTACCAAAATTATATCAGAAGAAAAAAATACTTAACTAAAATTGATATACTAAAAACAGATTACAATTCTGTATTAAAAGTTAATAATAAAACAAAAGTTTACTAAAATACTAAAAATATATATATTGTAAAGTTTGTACTAAGGTTTGAGTGAACTTTATAAAAACATAATCTTGTTAATAAAACTGTAAAATAAGTAAGTTAATTAACAAAAAAATATCTAAAACCTTACAGTTAAATAATATGCTCAGAAATATATAACAATCTAACAAACATATAAAAAATGATTTAATGTTAAGTTAAATAATACTTAATTATACAAGAACTAAATAATTATTCACTTGGTATAATATAAAAATCAGAGTATTTAAATAAGTAATTTTCTAGTAAATTACAAGTATAACAATTAGTATAAAACCTTTAGGCAAACTACTTAAATAGATGATCAAAAATTGCATATATAACTAATTGCACACTCACTTTGTACAAATTATATGTGAATTTAATTGAAAACACAATAAAGGTGATAACTGTCACAAACATCAGCCTTAGCAAAAACAAAAAAAAAATATATAGTAGTATACTGTATATTTAAATTTTTATACTATAACAAATTAATATAAAAAAAAATCATATAATTTAAAATTAACTAATCAAATTATTTTAAATAAATAAATAAAATTAAAAAATTTTTTATTTATAATCACATCTTTATATAATTACGATTTTTGTTGCACTCAAAAGTATAATTATAAAAAGATATAACTGTATTTTAAAAATTTGTTAAAAAAAATTAGTATATATGCCTTAAGTAAAAAAGTTTAGCACCTAATTTCACATATAAATACACTTTTAACTCTAATCTATTTTAACTTACTCTAACCTAATATATGTATTTGTTTCTTATGCCAAATACCATATCCTATAAATCTTCAAAAAATAAACTTTAAATGCAATAATATAAATTTTAAAATAAATATAAAATTTTAATTGATAAACATCCAATTCTAATAAAATTAATCGCAGGTTTAAAAATATTTTATTGTACCATGTAAAACATGAAAAATTAACTCTATACATCCTACCCTTAACAGTTTAAATACAATCATTTCGTAAAGTTGATTTCAGGGGTTCAAAGATATGCTATATAATCCGAGTCAATCACGCCAAATAATTTATCACCTCATTTCGCAAAATTTTGAGTTTCCAAATTAATGATTAACTTGGGTCACATTCATTGACTAGGAAATTTGATGGTAACACAGGGGTTCTACTTGTCGGAAAAACCTGGATAAATCCCAAACTTCAAAAAAGAAACAAATGCTAGTTATAAAAATTAAGCGAAAAAAGTCGCCTTGATCTTTTGCAAATGTATTCTACATAACTATAAGGAAATATCTCTTGTTTAGATAAAGATTATTAATAAAGTTTTTGAGATATTAATTTGGCAGAGTTTGGGATTTGGACGTGGATAAATCCAAACAATAATAGTTTGGGATTTGGGAGACAAGATATATACAGGAGTAGCTATCGTCGGTATCTGGATCTATCTTTATGTCGAAAGTACTGACGACTGCTACGATGATGACGCGAAGGGGATCTAGACCTAGATCTTGAATGGCCGTATCTTCTTTCAGAATGATATTTTGTTTGATGGTAATCAGAATGATTAAAGGAGGTGGTTGAATAACTTAGAGAAGAAAACGAATCACCAGATACATCACGGTGATGAGATCTATTTGAAGGTTGGTAACGACTATCGTTTGTAAGACGACCTTCGTTTAAATTACTCTTAGGAATGTTATTGTTGGATCTTGGACCATTTGCTCTACCATGTTGTGATTCTTTAGAGTATTGGAAAACAGGACGATTATTTTTAGTCTCGAAATGTTGATGTCTCATTTCTGATGAAGAATTACGACGCCAACAATCGTCAAACCGGTATTCTGGAAGAATTTCAGGCATGGACTGATTGCCAGTAACATGACTGATACAAATAGGTTAACACAAAAAGTTGAAAGAAATGTATAAGTTAATCAAAAACTTACAGAGGTCGTTTAAATGGACGGTCTCTTGCACCGAATCGAAGTTGACCAGATTCTTTTCGACCCCCAAAGCCACCACCCAGTCGCCTTGGAGTCCACCCTTCCATTATGCGACTTCGTTCGTAATCAGTCAGAATTTGACGATCATCTATTGTCATTTTATAGGAATTCTACATGCGAGTTGAATGATCAATACACAATAGATATAATACATAATGAATATAATAATGAATATCATAATGAATGTGAATGAGCATACTTTGTAGGCTTCTTGACATGATTTTTCATGTACGAATTCAATGAAAGCATATCCACGCGAATCACCTGTAACTATACATATAGTTATTTAAAAAAACTGTTTTTTGCAATAGACAACATACCATTTTCAAAAATAAATTTACCTATATTTCTTACGAGTCTAATATGTTTTATTGTACCGAACTTTTCAAACGTATTTTTTAAAGTTTCTAAGAAAATTACCTAATCAGTAACATTATTTTCGGATGTAGAGTAAAAATTTGACTTACTTTCAGTAGTTATTGGATTTAATCGTCCAACGAACAATGTTTTAAAGGGGTCGCTGGTAAGACCCTCTTCATTTGAAGGTGGCGCATCTATATAAATGCAATTTAATAATAAATAAAGCACATGTGTAAAATTAACAAAAAGTACTTACAACAAGAATTTTGAGCTCGTAAAATTCCGTGATCGTGCGGCACCGTGTCTGTTCCGTCAATACTACCCGCTATTTAGATGTGAGAGTTAATATATAATTAGAAATAGACCAATAAAGGACTAATTTTATTTTTTTTTATATACCTTGAAGGGGATCGTATTTTTTCGCGTACCACATTTTAAACGAATACCATAAAAAAGATAGATTTCTTTAATTAGATTCCATAAAATCCAATAGTCACCAAATTTCCGGGTCGGTAAATTTCATAAAGTTCACTGATCCAACCAATCATCTGAGCATATGATCACGTTCCTTAAAAATTACATGAAAACTACGTCACTGAAAACTTACGGTAATTTGACAGTCTTAGTCATGACTTCATCTTAATTAGTGGGCCAGACTTCATTAGCGTTAGTAAAACTTTTAGTGATCTTGGACAAAATTAGTTAATTCCGGCCCCGCCGACCATGATTCCGAGGCACCCCGACACGGGAATTTTGGTGGCCCCTGTATGAACTGGCGTTAGCGTTAGGCCGAATTACAAAATCGATCACCTAATTATAATCATAGGAAAGTTGGATTGGTTGAGTTTCGTAGATCACACGTAGGTATGCTAACGACTCGACTCAAGTCGATAACTTGTAACTTTAAGTCGATAGTCGTTTCAAGTCGACTGATATGCAAGTCAGTCGACTCAAGTCGATAAGTAGTTGATATTTAAGGGATTTATGCAATAGATCGATTTTGTCCAATTAGTTTGCATAGATCCTTAATGAATATGTATTATAATCCATTATCTATTTAAAGAATTCATATACGTATTAAAATTTTTTTTACGTATTCGAATGACATAAAGGATCTCTTGTAGTATAGATGACTTCTTTAATAAAAATGTATTTATTAATCAATTGATTATAAAGTAAGATCACCTATACTGCAAAAGATATATTTAAATAAATTTATAAAAATATTCTTTAAAAAAACCAATAATAACTAAATATATATCAAAAAAGTTTAGCAATATCTACAAGAATTTAATCATATATACATATATAAACAGTTTTTTATAAATGCATTTCTGATAGAGGGTGTGGTGACCTAGTGAAGTGGTTAGGTTGTCAACCCTTCAAGTAGTAGATGGGTGTTCAAATCCCATCGATGGTAAAAATTTGGATAATCATTTATGTAATATTCATATTATGGCAACTGTTACTAACGTGGCAGTTACACCAGCATGACTGGCAGGTCATAGGGCATCCATGCAATGTTGAAGTTATACAGAGAAATGCAAACCAACAAATCAGGCAGTGCAAACACTAGATAAGTCCTTGTGGCTATGTAAATTTGTTGAAATTGGATAACAAAAAGTCCATTTGGGAAGACCCGAGTAGAAAGGTAGTTGGATCTTTGACAGCCTTACTGTAAAGACTAGATTAGTAAAATGGATACTTAGGTCTAGTATCCAGTCCTAATAGCTGAATAGACAAGAACTTCTGGATTGAGAGTCTCAAAGGTATTACTAATCAGATTGCCAGAATGAACTAGAGGAAAAGGATATTGAATTGACCTGATATACTGATGAACTGATCATAGTTCTAAACAGGCTATCTGGATTGGGAGTTTGGTAAAAAAGCAGAAGAAAAGGCAGTAATATACTAAAGTATCAGAATTATGCTGTAAAGTAGATGTTGAGATCTAAGTAAACTCTACAAAAGCATAGTAGTTTAATGGTTAGTCCTAACCACAAGTATTAGTTCTGCTATAGCGATACCTAGATCAGCTATAAAAATAAGTACAGAAGGCTCTAGTGAGTTTATCTCAAAAATAAATTAGTCCTAAGGTTGAGGATGATGATCTGAACATCTAAGATAACCAGTGATGTTAATACAGTTTATAGGTTCAGAGGATTTAAAGTGAAACATCTAAGCAGAGGTTTTAGGTACAGTAATTGATAAAAAACCTTCAGACAGACTCCTTAAATAGATAATATAAAAAAGTTATATGTGTAGCCAATTATATGTTCTCCTGTAGTGGTTCATTGAACCACAATACTGATAAGTAATTAATAAAACTCAAAAAACCAAAGAGGTCACCTTAATACTAAAAAAAAAAAAAATGCATTTCTGATAAATGTATTTTTATAAATGTACACATCAAGTGTTCTTTTTTAAATGTATGCTTGTTTTGATTCAAAGTTTATAAAACTCTAATAAATATATATTTTTGATCTTATATATATATTCATGAATAGGTACAATCAAATATATATAAATAAATATGTTTTTAGTTTTTTTTAATACAATAAATAAAACTTTTGAAAATTTTAAAAAATTTGAAAATAATGATAGTTTAGGAAATTATATAGTTAAAATCAAAGAAATTGAATTAAAAAAAACATTTAATCCAAATATTAATACTAATATGCAAATATTTAAAATTGAAAAAACTAATATTGAAAACTTAAATTATTATATTTTTAATATTTAGCATTATGTAAATAAAAATGATTCTAAATGTTATTATTGTTTAACATATAAATTTATATTTTTATCAAAAACTAGTATATCAAGTATATAAAATTATCTTATTAAATATAATCTATTAACTTGAAAAAATTCTATTTAAATATATTTTGAAAAAGAATAATTAGAATAGTTAATATTTTTAGTTAAGTGAATTATTAAAGCAATGCAACCTTTTTCTGTTATAAATAATATTTTATTTATAATTTTTTAAATAAACTTAATCTTTTATTTGTAATTTTAAAGTTAAGCAATATACTTAAAATATTATAACATAATAATTTAATATTAATTTAATAATTAATAATATTACAAAGGGTGTGATGACTTAGTGAAGTGGATAAGTTGTCAACTCCTCAAGTGGTAGGTTGTGAGTTCAAAACCCACTGACAGTAAAAATTTGAATAATCAACTATGTAATACATAGACGATATTACAGCAACAGCATTCTGTTGATCAGTTGGGATAAGATACCTGTAACTATGGTCACACTAGCATGACTAGCAGGTCATAGAGCATCTGTGTAACCTTGGTTACATAGAGGAATGAAAATCAGTACCAGGCAATGCAAACCTAAAATAAGTCCTTGTGGCTGTATAAATCTGTAGAACTAGGAAATTAGAGCCTACTTGGAAAGATCCAAGTAAAGAGATAACACAGATCTTTGACAGTACTATTATAAAGGCTAGACCTAGGAAACAGATACTAATGTAAAAGAGTCAGATGGGCAAGAATCTCAGGTAAGGGGTACTACCAACCAGGCTACTAGAACTGAATCAGAGGAAAAGGATATTGGGCTGGCTCAATATACCAAGAACAGGTTACAGTCCTATCAGGCTATCTGAATTGGGAGTCTGGAATCAAAGCAAGGGTATACTATAAGTACTAAAGATATGCTGTGAAGTAGGTGCTGGGGTTTGGGTGAACTCTACAAGGACTGGCCTTGTTAATGTTCCATAGAGTGGGTAGATAGTTAACAAAAGGGTACTTTGGAATCTTATAGTCAGATGACATATTCTGAAATATTTAATAGCTTGACAGACATACAAAAAGGAGAAGCTAAATGTTGGGTTAGATGGCACTTAGTTGTACAGGAACCAGGTGTTACTCATCTGGGTGTAGTATAAGGATCAGAGTATTTAAATAGATACTCTCCTAGTAGGTTACAGGCATGACAGCTAGTATAGAACCCTTGGGCAAACTACTTAAATAGGTAACCAAAAGTTATATGTGTGGCTAGTTGCACACTTATTTTGTACAAGTCATATATAATGCATTGCTAAAAATACAAATAAAGGCAGTAGCTACCAATAACATTAGCTTTAATAAATAAAATAATAATAATATTATTATTATTACAAAAAAAGTTTCAGTTATAACAAATCTTTAAACCAAATTAAAAATAGAATGCTTTATTACAATTACTATTCATTTTGTTAATAGTGATTAAAAATTATATTACTTTATTTTAAATATTACAAAATTTTAAGAATTTTATATAAGCATAACAATTAATAATTAAATATTAAAAATTTTAAAAGAATTTAATTTAAATTCAAAAATTGGTACAATTACAATTAATAATAGTTCAAATATGATTTTAATATGCAATAAAATAAAGAAATAACTTAATTCTAATAATGATTTTAATAAATTTTCTTACTATTATTTTATATGTTATATTATAAATCTTTTTGTTAATAACAGATTAAAAAAAGTATATATTTTAATTAAAAAAGTGCATCAATTAGTAAAAGTAATACAAAACTCATATTCATATTTAGAAGATTTAGAACAATATCATTTAGTAAATAAAAAAACCTTTCTTTATTCAATTTTTGATATTAAAATATGTTAAAATTCAACTTTTATTATGCATTAATAAGTTCAAATTCTTAAAAAGTATCTAGATATTATAACTATGTATCATTTATTATTAAATAATTTATATTTGTTTTTAAATGAATAGAATTAAATTAATAATATTATAAATTTATTAAAACAATTTTATATAATTATAAAAGAATTATCATCTCAAAATTATCTTACTATTGCTTATATATGTATAATTTTATTTAAGATTTGTTCAGATTTAAAAAATTATAATAATGAAAATAATTTATTAAAAAGAAATTTCTATATTTATTTATAATAAATTATAGATTTATTAAATATATCTTGATAAGATCTCATATTAAATGCATTTTTAGATTTACATTATAAAAAATATTGTTTTCTAAAAAAAACAATTGAAGAAATTCTTAATCTAATTCAATGTAAACTTCTTGCAACAAGTTTAAATACAATATCAAAAAAACACAACTCTACCCAACGATCACTTGAACACAAAATCAGTGGAAAAGAAAATAGATTTTCTGTATAAACAGCAATAAGAAAGGTTACAAACAGCACTAAAGAAAAGAAACAGCAATAAGAAGAGCCTTAAACAAGCTTAG